AGTGAAATTGAATATCCTCAGGACCATATAGCAAGACTATACTGTTCCCAACTCAATGAACATGCATTACATTCAAGGAGAAAGAAGAGGTTCCAAAAAGCGCATTAATAATAAATACACCAAGCCCTTGAGCTAAAACTACCGTGTTTCCCCCCAAATAAGACACTGTCTTATATTTATTTTTTCTCAAGAAGACACACTAGGACTAAGCCCTTTTCAGGGGATGTCTTCCTCTCTGCGCTGAAATGCATGGCATGGCTATGCAGATACCTTGCATAGCCATGCCCATCACTAGATCTTATTATCAGGATAGGGCTTATATTTAACAAATGCATAGAAATCCTGCTAGGGCTTATTTTTTAGGTAGGTCTTATTTTCGGGGAAACATAGTATGTGGAATCCTAATAATTTTTTCTGTAATCTCCAACTATATTTAAAATAATGCCTTTTATTTTTAAATAGCTCTATAAACACCTTTTGGAAGCAGCACTTTTAAAATGATAGTAGCATTGCAATATATGCCGATCTCTTAGCCATGTAAAGGGTACATTCCAGATGAGTGTTTATTAAAATATGTCATGAAATACTCCCTCCCTGGCCAGAAGCGCTTAAACTATCAGATACGTTCTGGAGCCAGAAAACTCAGCCTGCCAGATGGTTAAATGCTCTAATTTTCTACAAAATAGAGATCACATTCTAGAGCAAGTACTGATACAAGAGAGAAGGTATCCTTCTGCTCTGCCTAGGAAATTTCATCTTGAGACAGAGGGAAGGGCAAATAAAAAGGAACTTTTATTAGTAAGTCCTACCTATGTAATGCAACTCATTTTAAAAATGACCCTGACCATTTTGGTCTTCAGGAATGGTTGATCTCTGCGCATTATTTCACAGAGATCATCTATTTCTATTATTTTGGTGGTAACTAAAGTTGGGATCTCAGGTTTCACTGGGGTCATGATTGGGTTTTTCATTTTTAAAGACTACCTTTACCCTGCATAATCCCACATAACGACATTCTTGCCTTTCAGAGCATGGGTAAATTTGGGTCACAGACCATATCAAATAGTCACTTGTCAGGGAGAATTCTGCATTGAGGCAAGCTCTGCACTGTTATTCAGAGTGCCTTAAAGTTGTTATTCTCAGTAGTTTAAAGAACCCTATTGTGGTCACATTGTCTTTTTTACTAATTATTGGAAAAATTTCAAGGCAGACTCAGCATATGCTTGAATCTCCCTCAATACTGTATCAGGTAAGGGCAGATGTACTTTTAAAAATACAGTGAACCACCAAAATCATGTGATTAATATATAAACATGATTTACAATTTTGTTGTTACTGGCAGAAAAATTGAAATACCCAGCATAATTGATAAGTCATAATTCAGTTTCATGATAAAGCTACTAGTATTTATTTGAACTACATTTTTTGTTGGAAAGGATAAAAATGTTCTAGGTGGCTATTTTTTCTCTTTCTTCTTTTAAAAAAAATAATGCTAAAACCTTTAGGGTGTCACAAAGAAAAAATATTAAAAGCTGTGATTGTTATCAAACCATTTCTCTCTCATAGTAAATGATCACATCCAGGCATCCTCAAACTACCGCCCGCGGGCCACATGCAGCCCACCTAGGAAATTTATCCGGCCTGCTGGGTGTTTTTGCTGCCGCTGCCTGTCCTGCTTAGCAGCCAACTCGTCCAGAGGCCCGCAGTCTGGCCCTCCAACGGTCTGAGGGACAGTGAATTGGCCCCGTTTAAAAAGTTTGAGGACCCCTGAATACTGGAGGAATGGTATGGGAAGGAAAATTAAAATTCCTTTTACTTGCCTAATTTACTTGTTTTGCTAGGTACACTGAAAAAAAAATTCTCCTTGGGGGCACCGGCCCCATATACCAGAGGTGGCAGGTTCAAATGCAGCCCTGGCCAAAAAAATGGCAAGAAAGAAAAAAATCTCATATGCAATATTAAATGCAGAAAGAGGGAAAAGGAAGGAATGGTGATTACTGGTTCTAAAATACCAAAATGTCCTCTTGTTTTCAAGCTACACAGTGACATTAAAACTTTGATAATTGAAAGTTGAAGAGTTTATGGGGGGAAAGGCACTGTCACGGGAAATTGTGTATCTTTCATCTAAGCCTAATGCTACACTAAAAGGCTGCATGTGAGTGGTTATGTGTAACTGCTGAAAAATTTCTACCTCTGCAGCTAATTGTCTAAGAATTCCAACTGATTTCTGTAGATATGTTCCTTTAGCTCTTTTTCTATTTTATAATTAACCCCTTTGAGCTGATAATTAAAACATCTTGGGCTAGAGTTATGGGCTGTTAAGAAGTTTTGACTGTTACGATATACACATCAATCACAGTTATGCCATTCCTTCTCATGTACTAGCTGTGCTGGTTACCTTTAGTTGTTTGGCTGACAATATTCCTCCCAATTTTTCCTTTCACCCAAACCCAAGACAGCTGCTCTTTGTTGACTTTAGTGTTGGGCAACACTTTAGTTGAACACTGACCCCCATTAAGAGGAAAGTGCTTCAGAAGCACTTTGAAGAAAAGGTTCTCGTGTATATTATGTAGTTGATATTACCGAAATAATTGCTTTTATTTTTTTGCAGTTTTTGGCTGGGGCTGGGTTTGAACCCGTTATACTCGGTGTATGGGGTCGGCACCCTATTTCTTGAACCACAGGCACCGCCCCCCAAACTGCTTTTATTTTTTAACATACAGGTGATGTTACATTAGAGATAAGTGAGACTAAGTATCTGAAACGTATAGTAAGTGTTTCCAACTAAACGAACTTTATTTAAAAAGTAGCCTGCTTTCAATTCAGATTGCTGCATGATACAGAAGAGACAAGTACGGGTCTAATCAGAGACACATCTAATATTCATTGTCGTTTTGTATCCTGAGAGTTTTATCAAAAAACATTTCTAACTGTGCATAGTTAGACTACTTTAGACTAAAGTAGACTTAGGCTACTTTAAGACTTCCTATGGGTCCAGACGGAGACGCTGTTAGAAATCAGGCTAAAGTAGTGGAATTCTTTTCATCAGATTATAAATGAGCTGATTTAAAGTGAGGCAGTATTTATTTAAAAGGGAACAGTGAGGATAAAGGAGTACCTATGATATGCAAGACACTCACTGGACTAGGCACTTGTCAGGTGTCTGTGGATCCTTACCTACTAACTTAGTAGTCCATGAACTCAGGAACCCCCATAATTATTTACTCTAGGCTCTTAGAAGTGATAAAGAGCCCTTGCACCAAAGGGTCAAAAGACCTTGAAGTATAGAAGTCCCTGTGCCCCCTGTACTTGGTGTCTACTTATGGGCCAGGGCACCGAGTTCTAAGATAGGCTGGCTGATGGAGTCATCAGGTGTGGGCTCAGAGGCCTGAGATCCAAAGCCAGACTCAGCAGCTCTTAATGGCAACTACCAGGTTCCTCCATATTTGGATTCCCTACTTATAATCTTTGAGCTATGGCTGGGCCCTGCCCTGTATTTTCCCAGAAACTGATGAATACCTTGCTAATACTAATTCTTTAGCCCCCAAACCTAGTCTGCCCTTTTGGATATTAGCTGCCCTATCATTCAAAATGTTATCTGTTATCTATTCATGTCCAGAACAGATTTACTACCCTCAAACTTAAGTGGAGATTCAGATGCCTATCCTCTTCAGCCAGGTCTGTGACCTGTGGCTCTTTAGCTTGTAACATCCCCCCAATGCCTCCCCTTTTCTATGGATTCCTGTTGCTATGATCCCCACCCCCAATCTCACTAATCTGTAGTAGCCCTTCTGGTCTCCATTTGCAGTCCCAGGTCATGGTGCTTCTTGAAAGCATTAATTGAAGTTATTTCATGCTTCAATTACCTTTTACCCTATGCCTGTGTTACACTATGTATCTTTTTAGGGTGCATTTAGGATAAATAATGCTTTTACCAGGGACATTAAATTTGTATAGGGTGCTATTCCCTTGGTGAATTCAGTAGCCCAAAAGTCTGGGCTTCAGATGTGCAAATTTAAAACTTGTCAAAGGGAGCAGAACACTTGACTTTCCGGAGGTAGATTCTGTGAAGGAAAGCCACAGAGAAAGTTAAATGGTACCAGAATGTTGTTTGGTGAATGTGACTCTGCTCTGACCGACAGGTAGGGGAGTGACTCTTACTGATGAATAACATCAATCTAGGACAACCTGATGGCACTGTCTAGAAGACACTAAGATTCATATTGGGGGCGCATCCTCCACAGCTGTCTGTGTTGGCCATTCCCCGTAAGTCGACATTTCTTCTTGGGGTACATTCTCAGTATAATCTAGTTATGTTATGTCTGAGTTGCCTGATGGCAAGAATGTTTTGTTTCCTGCTATATACCCAGCTCCTAGTACAGTAAATGAATTGTCAAATCCTATTCTTTTGGTAGATACTGTCTTTTAAAAGGTAACTTCTTGCATTTGCACTTTTATAAGTTGGGGACTCACTTAAGGGCCCCTACTTCTTGTCTTATAGACCTTAGATGGCTATTCAACTTTTGGATAAACAAGTAGTAACAAAAGGAAGTCTGGATTTTATATGAAGAAAGTCCTTAAACTGTCCCTGGAAACTAACCCTTAAAACAGAAGCACTGAGATGAAATTCTGTCCACACAGGCACTGTGTGCTGCCTCCTTTTTGCCTTTACCTGTTTGGCCACTGGCAGATAGAATCATACTTTTTACCATTTTTTAATTATTTCATATCTTTATCAGGTCAAGTGTCAAAAAGAGTGACAAAGTAAGTGGTTAAAAGTACAATTCTTGGAAGATAACCTGAGTTGGATACAGTTGTAGCATGTTCCATATGTTAATTAAGAACAGCCAGAAAAACAGAGAAAAGGCAGGGACGGGGTGGGCAGGGGGGAGGAATGGAGAGGAGCAGTGCCCCAGATAGTAAAAATAAAGCCTAATAAAAACTATGTGGTCCTGGTGCAAGACTAAACAGCCCAATGAAATATAAACAGAACCCAGATACAGAGCTAAATACCTGGGGCACTTTAGAAATGATAAATGTAGGCTCTCAAATAGTAAGGAAAAGAACTGTCCAGTAAACGGTACTGAAACAACTGGGTTAATTATCTGGAAAAAAAGTTAGGTGGGATACATAACTTACATCTTATGCCACGATGCACTCCAACGTTCAAAACTTAGATGTAAAAAATAAAAGCATAAATATTCACAAATTATTTTATTACTCTGGAGTGAAGAAAGCATTCTAACTATGACTCAAATCAGAAACTACTAAAAAATTGATAAATAAAACTTAGCATGGCAAAACTATCATCAGCAAAGCCAAATTGTTACTGGCTTATTCCAGATAACAATTTGGAAAAAATATACTTACAGCTTGGAAAGAGAATATTTGCAGCTTGTTACATTCAAAGGGTTAAATATTCCAAAGAAATACACTCCTAGAAATTGATAAGAGACCAACAATCTGGCAGAAAAATGGGCAAGATATAAACACAAAAGGAAATACAAATGGCTCAATGGCTTTTATACATATTAAATGTGGTCAACTTTATTTGTAATTAGAATTTACACATTGATATTATTTTCATATTTTCAAAATGGCCAAAATCCAATATTTTCGTAACATCTGTGTTAGTGTGAGGTTGTAGGTAAACAGCTAATGCCACAAATGTCAGATGGGATGAGTTAGTAACTGTCCACTATGGAGACAGTATGCCACTATCTTTCAAAATTACAAATGCATATAAGTTTTGACCTCAAAATTCTATTTGGGAGAATTGATTCTATAGGTAAATTTTTATATAAATCTGAAATGTTATAGAAAGAATAACCCAACTGCCCATTGATAGGAGACTGGTGAATTCAGCAGTGGCACATCTGTGTGACCAAGTACCAGGCAGCTACTGTGTAGTGATATGAAGTCTGCCAAGAAATATTAAGTGGGGGAAGAAAGGCAAATAGGATGGATATGTCAGTTTGTAAGATTTTCTATTTGTATATGTTTGTATATGCCTAAAGTGTGGATGGAGATGTACGAAATCAAGAATTGACGTTATTTATGGTGCGAGGGCTATGTGCAGGCAGGAAGTTGGGGCAAGGGTAGAAGGATGACATTCACTGAATAATTTTTATATCATTTGGTTTTTAACCATGTGAATGTATTACCTATTCAAAAAACTAAATAAAATAAGCATATTTTAAAAATGTTCTGATTGAATACAAATACTAACAGTCTCCATGTTTTAGAATGGTAATAGGTCAACTTAAGAAATTACACAGATAAACCACATTATGACTGTAGCAGTTCTGAAGCCAGACTTTCTGATCTCAAATTCTAGCCCTACCCCCTAGAATTTGTAACCACAGACAAGTTATTTAGCCTCTCTCATCCTCCATTTTCTTATTTGTAAAATGGAGAAGTAATCTTACCTACCTAGTTTGCTGTTGCGCAGATTAAAGCCCTAATGTAGTGCCTGCCAAGGTGTGCCATTGCAAGCAGCAGCAACCTCAAACTACTTGTATATTTTCTCCCTTCTCCACAAATTATATTCAGATCCTCATGCTGTAAAATAAACATTTAAAATGGAGAAAATGAGACAGAAAAGATTGCAGAAACACGTACTTTAATTCACATTTTCTAGCTTCTGGTGGGTACAATAGTAGATTGTTAGAAATTCTGTTCAAAATCCAAGCTGCACCTGTAGATGTTAATTAAAATAGGGTACACATAGATTTGTGTGTGTGTTTACCAGATAATTTCCATGATAACCATGTACCTAATCTGTGCATTTTGGTGAATACCTATGGTTTCTGCAGGTACTTCAGTTTGTAAACTGCTGAGAGGTTTACTGTGAACTGTTCCCAAATTTCCATCTGAAGGCAATGCTGATGAAGATCAAATTAGCTGTCCTTTCTTATATCTAATGGCACCTAGGCAAAGTTGAAAAACATGGCACAGTGTTTTCATATACACACAGAGATTATGAACATTGAATCGCAATGTTAAAATGAAGACTTAACACATTTCAAAACTGAAATCTATTACTATTCTGTCAGATCCCTTTCATAATCTAAGAATTGAAACAAACTTTCAAACTTAACCAATTTTAATATAGAATGTCTAATTTACATAAATGCCACTTAAAAAAAATAAACTCATGCCATTGCAGGAAGGAATTTTCCTTTTCATTTTCATTACTTCACCAGCTGGTACAATCATTTCTGTCAATCATATTATCAAGTGCTAGATTTTTAAAATAACAACAAAAGGCCAGGAGGTATTCACCAGCTAAGCGTTTTCACAATGCAAACAAGAGTCTAGTATCACTTCACAGCAAAAAGTATGAGGACTATGAAAAATAGTTCATATCAAGGACCACGGAAATGTCACCACACTCAGACTGTCATTTAAGAAATAGACACGTGAAAAAAGTGCAGACTGCCTCCTCGTGAGTATAGTGAAGTAATAAAAGGAAAAAAATGGGCTCGGCGCCTGTGGCTCAAGCGGCTAAGGCGCCAGCCA